TATACAAGCTTTTGTTTTGGCAACTATTGCCAAGTGTTGCTATCTTTGGCACAGCAAAAAGTTTTGCCTGTTCTCAGATGTGAATATTTATAATATATGCCTCTCCTGATTTTTCTCAAAGGGCAACCAATGTGCTAAACCCCCGAATATAGATGTAGGTGTTTACACTAGTATACTGCTCCTCAACTAGTGTGAGTTGTAACACCCCATCCACACTATCTAGAACAGGAAGCTGAAGGGTGCATTCTTATGTATGCAGTCTTATGCCTGCCCTTTCCAAGCTTTGCCTTCCGTGTTAACTTTGGAACCAGATAGTTCAGTGATGCTATTTATGTAACTGGTGGTCAATGCAGGATGGAATATACAGTCTAATTTGGGAAGATGATAGGACTCTGGCTAAAATGAAATACAGGAAGCAGAAGAATCAATGCCTATTTCCTGTCAAACTCCTAAAATATTTAGCTGGAAGGAGACACATGCTCTAATTTGTTTGGCCTCACGTTCTCGTTGATCTAGTGGAATAACCAGTTTTGGAAAGTTAATCCTGTTGTCAAGTCGGAAATGTGTTTCAGTATTTACCAGGTTTGTGTTAACAATATTCCGTGTGGCACTCGGTGCTACCCATTAGCTTTATTGAATTTCAGAGTTGGAGAATGTAAGCAAGTCAGTTTATTTGTAACATAAATGATCTAAAACTACTGTAGAGCTTTATATGGGAGTGGCAGCAAGTATTTTGCATTGTTTATGCAACTATTTCTTACAGATCTTACTTGCCCGGTTAACAGCCCTTCCCCTCGGACAATTGGACCTGGTATACAACCTTTCTGACTTGCTGTCTGTTGGAAGAACATTTGCTAATCATTCTTTGTAGTTGGAGGAATAGGAACCTTAGCATATTTTTTGAAAAAATTTGTGGGCAGTCGTTGATATGTCCGCGTATCTGGATTTGGATTTAATGTAAAATATACATTGTTAATTCCTTCTGCTTATCCTAACCACTTTGGTAAGGTAAGGATATCCACCTGCAGTCTTCAGAGATCCATGTTACTTTTTTCTTTAAATTCTATTCAGTTTAAACCTACAGGGATTATTTTTCCTTATACCTTTGTTATTTTTGAAGCTTGATTTGATCCTTGTTGAAGCACCAAAAAGATTTTAAATGTTACGTAAGCGCTAAAAAAAATGCACATTTTTTTATATAAGGCTTTCTAATCAAGTTTCACTACTGCGTCTTTTTAGCTTGCTGTTTACTCCCTTTTGTAGTTTTACCAACAGGATTTTAAGATGAACCAGCTATGTCTGAGTTAAATATTAATCACAGTTAAAGCTTTACCTTTGTGTGCAATTTAAATATGTTTGAATCCACAGTTGGTATAGTTTGCCTTAGCTAACATTCAGGGCTTTAGAAGATAATCTGTTTTGCTAGGTCACCTTAGCAAATTAAAAAAAATCTACTGCCCTAGAGTGCTATAGTAAACCAGAGGACCATTTTTGTATTGTTACCTGACTATAAGTCTGACTTATTGTATGTGCTAATATATTCCTTTTGTTATAGATTGTCCTAATGGCAGGTAAAGCAATAAAATGATTTAAATTCTTAAATGTAATCAGTGTTTCATTTTACTGGGCCCTTCCCCTGCTAATTCTTGGATTGGAACAAGCTAGCTGGGGATGGTCTTACTTTTTTTCTGATACCAGCTCACTTTTTACCTTAGTTAATGTAGCATAGTTCCTTATATATTGTTAAACATGAACTCGTCAGCTCTTCAAAGTAGATCAGGCTTCTCCTGTCTGACCATTGACTTGATAGTAGCTCTCCTCCTGTCTCTCTCCAGCCATTCCTTCTGCGCTCTATTTTACTAGGGCCGCTGTAAAGGAGCTTCACCTTGGAAAATAGTTACTTGGGTTAAATTATGGTTAGGGCTAGTTTTCTTTGATTACAGAATATAAATTCGGTGGGATTCATAAAAAAAAACACCTTGTATGGAAAATGGAGCCATGATTTACACAGTGCACTAAAACATAAAATTACATGTTTTGGGCTTAATGTGGATGTACCTTTAGTGTGTAATGTGCAAACTGATCTATTGCATTGTAGTCAACAAAACAGAGATCAAAAAAATCCAGCAAATGTTTGAATAGTATGTTTTACGGATTAATTAATGAGAAATTAATAAATATGGGCTCTGCTTTAAAATTTAAAGTTGAACTGGGGGCTGACTGTCCAATAAATGAATCTTCTGATATTTTAGCATCAAACAGCACAAGAAAACATAACTTTCGTAAATGTAAATAGTTTGTAAGATTACTTGATAAGAAACACTATTTGGGAGTGTTCAGTATTGTAGGGATTATTATTCCTTTTGATAATCAAGTAGATAGACTTCAAGTGCTTGATTATGGCCAATAAATTCATCTTGGGCTTTTCCTTTTATATACTTATGAGTGATGAAGTATTTAAACCCACTCTTTAAATTCATATTGATGTTAGCATTAAAAACATGGAAAAATGCCAAAAAAATAGACCACCGGAGATATTGACTGTACTTTATGGAAACTGATCAGTTTTTACTGCCTCAGGTCCAAATTGACCATGCTGATGCATTCCTTTAATTCTATGGGCCTTGGAACCAGACAATTTCTTTAAAGAATGTTTTAAATCTTCATAGCCCGAAACTATCAGTAGAGGGAGCTGAAATACTGTACATTGAGAAAAATAATATAACCAATTTAATCTCTTTGATGAACCATTGTTCAAAGATGGTAATCGAGCTGAAGTGAAAATAAAAATTTGTAAACTTGGGTATGTCTAGTTTAACGAAGAGAAGGACAAGGGGGGACATGATAGCAGTATTCCAATATCTCAGGGGCTGCCATAAAGAAGAGGGAATCAAGCTATTTTCCAAAGCACCTGAAGGCAGGACAAGAAGCAATGGGTGGAAACTAATCAAGGAGAGAAGCAACCTAGAACTAAGGAGAAACTTCCTGACAGTGAGAACAATTAATCAGTGGAACAGCCTGCCTCCAGAAGCAGTAAATGCTCCAACACTGGAAGTTTTTAAGAAGAGACTGGACAGCCATTTGTCCGAAATGGTGTAGGGTTTCCTGCCTGAGCAGGGGGTTGGACTAGATGACCTCCAAGGTCCCTTCCAACTTTACTACTATTACTATTACTAAACTTTGGTTATCAATGTACACGATACTCAAATATTGAGTATATTCCTCCAGGAAAGTTTATGGAGTGTCTCCATGTAATTTTCCCAAAGTTGTTGACATAATGATTGAGTATCATTTCAAAGAGCAATTGGAGGTTTGCAGGGGTTGCTATGCTACGCATGGACTTGTACAATAAAGTATAAACATCTATATATTTGTTTACTGAGGTTTTCGCAGGTGTTTGTATTAGGTCTTTGATTATTTGGGTTTTCTCCCGCATAAAATTGAAAGTGTTTTGGCGACGTTTCGATGAAGTCCCATTCGTCATCTTCAGGCTGGTGTTTTCGGCTTCGTGCTTCTAGGAGCAATGAAAGTGTCTTGCCGACATTTCGACAAAGTCCCATTTGTCATCTTCAGGCTGGTGTTTTCGGCTTCATGCTTCTAGGAGCACGAAGCCAAAAACACCAGCCTGAAGATGACGAATGGGACTTTGTCGAAACGTCGCCAAGACACTTTCAATTTTACGCGGGAGAAAACCCGAATAACCAAAGACCTACATGTATATATATATATACACATACATACATACATACATACATACATACATACATACATACATATATATACACATCCATCCATATATATATATATATATTGCAAAATAAATAAATAGCGATCACCAGGAGAATCAATAAGAAAAATATTTAATAAAACCTAGCTTTCCTCGGAAACTTCCGACATCGTCAGGGTTAAGAGCAGTCATTGGGAAGAAACTTATATAGGGTCACCAGACGCCTGCATCCGGCTTCTGGACTGCGTCATCGGTCCCAGCTGATCAAATTGCACTCTGAACATACCCTTAACGCCAGCGCCCAGCCCTTTCCTGTTCCTATTCCATACACTCTTATTCACTCCTCCATCGCTAATTCTGGGGCTGAGGGGGGGTTCTCTCCCACCCTTTTTGGGTAGTAGCTGTTTCCATCCCCTCGCCCCCTTGTGCATAATTCTCCTCACCAGGGGTCCTGGGGTGCGGGCCTTTCGGTCCTCTCCTGATCTCACCACATTCTCCATTTAAACTCCGACCAATTCCCCCCGCCCCCTGATGATGTTGGAAGTTTCTGATGAAAGCTAGGTTTTATTAAATGTTTTTCTTATTGATTCTCCTGGTGATCGCTATTTATTTATTTTGCAATATGAATATACCCAGGAGTCGAATAGGGATCATAAAGAATATGGTGCTTTCATTGTTAAAACTGGAACACACCAGTTTTATACCTCAAATTGAAGTTTTTTTTCTAGCTTATATTCTCCAAATACCCAGACCAGAATTCTCAGCCTCCATGGGTAATAGTAATAGTGAAGCTGTTGGAATTTCAGAAAGTTGCTTGATCAGGTTTGGAAGATCATGTGGAACTCCAGTATCGGGTAGGAATTGATACTAGATTTTCAACTTTTGTTGCTCTTTGTAGTCCATCTTCATACCTCCTATGCTGAATGACTTTGCCAAAAGCTTAATAGTAATCCTTGTGGGGGGGGGGCAGGCTACACACAGAGACACACAGAAACACACACAAACACAAACAAAGATTGGCGACAATGTGTATAGGCTGTATGTGTCCTGTTAATGTCCATGATCAAATGCAAGAAATCCTCAAGAGATAATTTTCAAATGTAAAACCAACAAATGTTTGGAATTATTGGAGGGACTAGGAGCGACTCGTGGAATTGTCAATATTCCTTGGTGTACTAAAGAAATCTACTTGTTTTGAAGGACCACTGGGTAAACTCAAGTTTACTTCAAAGGATTGGGGTGGGGTGGATGGTTCTAACAACCAGACTTTAAAAAAAATCTATATTTTAATGATTTTGCATAAATTTACCAGGGAAAGAAATAGTTGATATCTCATTTCCTCAAACACCTTGAGTTCACCAGCATCATACACAACTTTGATGACACGATGTAGACCAGAAGACCTGCCATAGACCTACTAGCCTTAATATTTCCCTTGCCGGTGCCAGATAGTTAAAGAACTGGGGAATAAAAAAAAAAAATCAGTACCCATAGTCAGTTGATACCCTGCTTATAGAGTGTTGAAGAGTAATTATTGGCAAAAAGGGGGGAGGGTCAGAAAGTGGATGGGAGATTCCTAGAAGTGTGTGCAATTGGCTAGCACCCTGAAAAGGAGCACTGAGGTGCAAAATCTGTTTTCAACACAATATGTGTTTCCTAATGCTTTTAGAGTTGGTGTAGATTACCTTGGTATATTTCCTTCTTCTACTCAGTGCTGCAGCCCACATTCTGTTTGCTACTCTTTACATCAGACTGCAGTGAAGGCTCCCACATGTGTGTTTGTGTGTTAGTTCTGCTTCCACTATGATGATGCTACATGAAAAAGAAGCACTACTACAGTGGCTAACTGGTGATGAGACTTCAATCAAGATTCTTCATTATTCCAAAGCAAATGACTGGAAAGAATTCAGTGCCAATTGCAATAATGTGAAACTATCAAGGACATTTGACACCATATGAAGGCACCCACAACACAATCCCAAATTGATGGATCCTTACCCAAAAGAAAGAGCCATTTTCCCTTCCTTGGCAACCTCGACATATGTGGAATTTTATGCCTTAAAGTAGCATTTCTATGCCTGCTTTTTTCTTTCTTTCTGGGGTTGCCTAAACTAGATTAGAGCCAGAATGTCTGCCACATCAGCACATTTTCATGGCTTGCTTTTGCCAAGGGCTGCTAGACTTTCTCCTACAGATCTCCATAAACTAAACATCCCTGAGGAGGTACATGTCCACTTATTAATATTGGCCTAAATCTCAGTGTGGATGCATTCCAGAAATGTTTTTTAGTGTCTTTCCCCTTCTTTATTCAATCCACCAATCAAATCCAGCCATGATGAGCCCAGCCAAATTCTGAGAAGGACATAGTTTGTAGTTACAGAAGACTGTGTATCTTCAATCTCTTGGAGAAGAGGCAGGAAGATTGTAGGTGATGTGTATGTGATTCCCATCTATAAATCTGAGGCCAAAGCTGCAGGTTTCAACCACCCAGTGGTTTCCTGATACTGCTGAGACTGCCTTCCTCCCAAGTCTTAAATGTCCAGATTAAGGAAGCACAATCAATCATTTCAAGTTCAGTTTCTAGTTTTTTCCCTTGATTCTAGCTTGGCTGTGTCATTCTGTCAAAAGCCATGGGTTCCAAAGGCTTTGTATCAGTTACAACAATGTCTTCTCCAAAGGCCTCTATGCATTTCTCCACAGTTTTCAGGATAATCTGTAACCTCCTGTCCAATGCCAAAAGGTGGGCTTCGGTCAACACGGGGGCAAGACGGTCTTGAAGGAGGGACTCCCTCATGATATCACTGAGTTTGTAGTCTGACTTGGCTAAAAGCTGCAGCCGTAACAAGGTGGTCTTCTTTATTCTAAAGGAAAGGAAAGATAGATTTGAGTAAATCTGTTTATGAAAAAAAGACCCTCAAGATCTAAGCCAGCGGTTCTCAACCTATGGGTTGCGACCCCATTTGGGGTCGATCGACCATTTCACGGGGGTCGCCAAGCAAGGCTGTCCGCCATTTTTTCCCCCTTTTCCGGCGGGTGCCTTACATCCCTTGGGCTGGGCCAGCTGGTGGCCCAGCCGGTGGTCAGCCTGCTCCGTCTCTGCCGCTTGCCAGCTACGCCTCGGCCGGCGCAGGGGGCGGCACCACCCAGGCGGGGAAAGTCCTTGACTTACGACTGGTTGGGTAGTCCTCGACTAACGACCGGTTTAGTCCTCAACTTACGATTGGTTGGGGGTCGCGGCATTAAAAAGGTTGAGAACCACTGATCTAAGCATTCTTATTCATATTTGAAACCTCGGTGTGTCCAATTTATAGCTGAACACTTGATATATAATGAAAAACTATTGCAGGCTCCTAATTTGCTACTTACAGAAGCCTTGAGGCTTTTTTCTGGAAAGGCCAAATCTAAAGAAGTCCTCTGTCTAGATCAGGGGTCTCAAATTTGCAGCCCACGGGCCGGAATGCATCACGTCACAAAGACATGATAGGTCACATGACGCGATCGAGTTTGACACCCATGGTCTAGATTATGGGTGTAAGGAGTTATTGGTTACTTTTCTTGGTTTTTATTCTGGTATAATAAAAGGTTTGTTCTCTGTTTGATGCTGCTCGGCCCATTCCCTATCAGCCTTTTTCATATTTTCCCATTTTAACATATTTGAAAAATAAAATAAATGACACAATGGGAAAAAGAAAATGAGAAAGGACACAGTTGACGAAAGGAAAAATATTAGTAAGTAAACAGCATTTACAATTTTAAAACCACTACAAAACTGTAAACATCCATTGATTTATGTTATTTATATTATATTAGTATCACCATTTGTGATTACCTGAAATAATTGCACATGATCTTCTAAAAAAGTAAAAGAATCATAAAAGATAAGTATGAATACTAAAAAATAATTAGTAAAAATCAGTGCATTCCCTCCCATTACATGTGACCAATCCATAACTGCAAGAAGAGATGAATAATAAATGTTGGAAATGTGGCACAGAATACCTTATCATATCTGGTGGTCATGTTAAAAAATTAAAAGCATTGGAAGGAAATACACATTATTTACAAAATTCTTTAAAAGAAAGCTTGATCTGAATCCTCATGGTTAAAACACACACACACACACCAAAAGAACTCCTACTCTAGAAGTCTTTCAAGAACAAACAAGCAAACAAATAAATAAAAGAATCTACTGAGATATATGCTGTTAGATTTAAGGTCAACAATATCATTTTGGGAGCTCAAACTTGAGGAATATGTAGCCATAGTAAAATTAACACAATATATCCAGAATAGATGTTTGAGTAAATTGAAGCAAAATGAGAAGGATGAGGGGGGACATGATAGCAGTGTTCCAATATCTCAGGGGCTGCCACAAAGAAGAGGGAGTCAAGCTATTTTCCAAAGTATCTGAAGGCAGGACAAGAAGCAACGGATGGAAATTAATCAAGGAGAGAAGCAACCTAGAACTAAGGAGAAACTTCCTGACAGTTAGAACAATTAACCAGTGGAACAACCTGCCTCCAGAAGCAGTGAATGCTCCAAAACTGGAAGTTTTTAAGAAGAGACTGGACAGCTATTTGTCTGAAATGGTATAAGGTTATCTGTCTGAGCAGGGGGTTGGACTTGATGACCTCCAAGGTCCCTTCCAACATTATTATTATTATTATTATGGCTCATCGCACAGTCAGCCAGATGTTCAGACTGGATTTGGCATTTTGTCTACCTATCGAGTCCTTACCCAGGATCTGGGATAGGCAGATGTGGATGTTTGACGGTATTACAGATATCGTCGCAGGATGGAAGCAGTTCCTAATAAGGCCGCCTTTTGCAATTGACTAATAGCGAATTTGTCAATGCCAATGGTGTTCAAGTGGTGCTCCAGTTGTTTTGGGATTGCACCCAAGGAGCCTATTACTATTGGTACTACCCTTGCTTGCTTTTGCCACAGTCCTTCTATTTCTGTTTGTAGGTCTTTGTATTTTGTTATCTTCTCCATTTCTTTCTCGTCTATTCTGCTGTCTCCAGGCACTGCCACGTCCACTATCCAGACTTTTTTGTCTTTCTTATCGACAATTGTTAAGTCTGGGGTGTTATGTTGCAGGTGCTTGTCTGTTTTAATTCTGAAGTCCCAGAGAAGTTTAATTTTATCATTTTCTATGACTTTCTCTATTTTATGATCCCACCAGTTTTTGCTTACAGGCAAATGATATTTTTGGCAGATCTTCCAATGCACCATTGTTGCTACTTTATCATGCCGCTGCTTATAGTCAGTCTGTGCAATCTTCTTGCAACAGTTTACCAGGTGGTCCACTGTTTCTTCATCTTCTTTGCATAGGCGGCACTTACTGTCTGTTGCTGTCTTCTCAATTTTGACTTTATATGCATTTGTCCTTAAGGCTTGGTTTTGTGCAGCCAGAATTAGTCCCTCGGTCTCTTTCTTCAATTTTCCTGCTCTTAGCCATTGCCAGGTTTTATTATTATCTGCTTTCCCAGCTATTTTTTTCATGTATTGGCCATGGAGTGCTTTGTCTTCCCATGCCTCTATTCTGTTCTTCATTTTGGTCTTTCTTGTAGGCCAGTTTGGTCTCTCCAGTAGTCAGTAAGCCTTCCTGATATACTAATTTCAGTGCATCTTCATCATTGTTCTTCAGATATTCTTCCAAAGCCATTTTTTCTTCTTCAACCATCTGATGTACTTGTAGCATTCCATGCTCACCTATTTGCCTTGGTAGATAAAGTCTATCAATGTCACTGCGTGATGAAGGGCATGATTCATTGTCATTATTTTTCTGGTCTGCCTATCCATTGCTTTTATTTCTGCTTGAGTCCAGTCCACTATTCCAGCTGTGTACCTAATGACTGGGATTGCCCAGGTGTTGATTGCCTTTATGGTATTTCCTCCATTGAGTTTGGATTTTAAGATCTTCTTCACTCTCTTGATGTATTCACCTCTAATCTTTTTCTTGACTTCAGTGTGCTTGATGTTGTCAGCTTGAAGGATACCCAAGTATTTGTAGTACTCTTCCTCATCCAGACTCTTAATGTTATTTTCGTGGGGCATCTTGATTCCTTCAGTTTTCACTATTTTTCCTTGTTTGATAGTAAGTGTGGCACATTTGTCCAAGCCAAACTCCATTACAATATCTTGGCTATATATACGGACAGTGTTGAGCAGCGATTCTATTTCAGATGATGTTTTTCCATACAGCTTCAGATCATCCATGTAAAGGAGATGGGATAGTCTGGTAGATGTTTTTGATGTTTGATAGCCATGTCCTGAGTTATTCAGTATTGTTGACAGAGGAAACAGTGCAATAACAAATAGTAATGGTGATAATGAATCTCCTTGAAATATTCCTCTCTTGATATTAACCTCTCCCAGCTTCTCACCATTGATCTGCAACTGTGTCTTCCATTGTGCCATCGATCTTTGCACAAATTTTCTGATGTTTCTACTGACTCCTGTTATTTCTAGGCACTTGATTATCCAATCATGTGGCAGAGAGTCAAATGCCTTTTTGTAGTCAATCCATGCCACATTCAGGTTGGTCTTCCTTCTCTTGCAGTTTTCCAAGATCATTTTGTCTATTAGGAGTTGATCTTTTGTTCCTCTGCTATTGGGGCGGTTTTCCTTTCTGCTCAGGTGGAAAGAGATTGTTTTCAACTAGATGCTGTTGTACTGCATCAGCTACCACACCAGTTAGTAATTGAAAGTTGTTGGTAAGCAGGTAATTGGCCTGTAGTTGCCTGGTGTTGCCCCTTTTGCTGGATTTTTCATTATTAGGTAGGTTTTCCCAGTTGTTAGCCACTTTTCAATTTCTCCTCCTTGTAGTATATTGTTGAACTGCTTGGCAATGAGTGGGTGTATAACAGTTAGATGTTTCAACCAAAACCCATGCAGTTCATCTTCACCTGGTGCTGACCAATTTTTGATTTTCTTGCTCTTTTTTCTACCATTTTTGTTGTTATTACTAGTTCTTTCATTTCAACTTCTGTTTTATTTGCATCCACCTCTTTTAACCAAGCCGCATCCTTGTTGTATTGCTTTGGGTTATCCCATATCTGCTTCCAGAACTGCACTGTTTCTTCCTTCTCAGGTACTGACTGATTCATTGCAGTTTCTCCATTGATGGATTAGGTAGAAACGTTTCTGATTGGATTGAAATTGGAGGTTCTGCCTATAGTTTGCAATTCGAGCTTCCTATCTACTGATTTTCCTGGCTATAGCTGTTATTTGTTGCTTTATTATTTCCAGTGCTTCCTTGATCTTCCTTGTTTCTAAGTGCTATTTCTTGATTAGGTATTCTTTGGTCTTCTTGTTCTTCAGCTTCTTTTCTTTCATCTGTTCTAGCTTGCTTGCATGTGATCTTAACTTGCTGATCTTATTTTCTAGTCTAACCTTCCATTTTTCTGGTGCACTGTTTGTTTGTTTTTCTTCTTTGTTGATTTTGCATCCCAGGTATTCTGTTATAACTGCAGCTGTGCTGTACATTTAGTGATTGTTTCTTGCAGTGAATTGGTGCTTATCTTGATATTGCAGTATTTGCATCTTTTAATGCTTGGCTAGCTGTTTCTTTGGAACAAGCTTCAATGCAGGCAGCCTTATTCTGTTGTTTTTGTGCTGTTCTAGATGCTCAATTATTCTTTGTTTCAATTCTTTTATTTCTTTAGTTAGAGGGTTTTGTTCTTCCTGAGGAAGAGGTGCCTGGTTTCCAAATGAGAACAGTTGTATATCTCTACTGGATTCCTTCACTGCCAACTCTCCCTGGTTTGCCTCTACATTCTGAATTACTTCTGGTAAGGCTTTGATTTCTTTGCCCTGGGTAAACCTTTGCAGTTTGCCCAATTCTGTTTCTGTGAATATTTTATTTCGTGTTATAAATCGGCGTTGATCTGCTAGTCTCTGTTCTGTTATTTCTGATTCTGGATGTTGTTCTTTCCAGAACTGGTGCATTCGTTTTAGAATATCCTCTTCTTGTTGGACTTGATCTGTAGTAACAGATCATTATTTCTTTGTTTTCAATCACTGTGTATCTGTGACGGGTAGACACCTTTTCTTCCAGTAGTCTGCAGCGCTGGCCCTGGTTGCTCAGCAAACAGTCCTGAGTCCTGTAACCCATTTTTCAACCAGATATCCAGAACTCCAATATTAGTGGGACCTTGTTTTGTTAACCCGGGCCGTCCCGAGCCGGTATGGCATTCTGTAATTTGCGTCTCACCATATTTTTTATGGGAGAGACACTCTTTGTCTGACTCCTCTGATGAGACCTGTCCAGTATGGTTGAACCTCTGGCATAGCTCTCATCTTCCTCAGAGTACACAAGCCCCACAACCACGTCAAGGTAGTGTCTCACTGGGGGATTATTATTATTATTATTATTATTATTATTATTATTATTATTATAGACGCTGGCTATGCAAGAAAGGGACTCTCCTATCTATTACTTGTCACATAGCAAGAGAATCCCACAATACTTCCACCACAGTTTTTAAGGGGAAAATATTGGCTATAACGACAATAACCATTAGCAGTTTTAATGTTTCTGAATGATTTAATGTAATCACCCTATCATCCTTTTAGGAAAAGTTAGGAAACATTTTTGGCAAAGAAAAGGTGATCATTTCAGGGTTGGGGGGGACAAAAGCCCATTTAGAGCGTACAGACTTGAAGGGCATTTAAAAGATTTAGTGGCAGCCCTATAATTATAAACCAGATGGATTTGCAAGGTGTGAGTAATGAACCGCTCTTGAAACCAGACCTGGAGGCTCTATATATCTCTATGGTTTCGGATGATGCTTTTGGCATTGGCTTCTATAGAAATTTAGAGGGGACATAGTGGAAATTGGTTAGTTATGCTGGAGGAAGAAATCCAGAGGATGAATAACTCTTTGTCCAATTTCTTGAAGGACTAGCTGTTGATTTATACGAATTAATAAAAGAATAACCTGGAGAGGAAACAGGCACTACAATTTATGAGTAAATCCTACACCCCAAAATGACTGCAGGGGGACACAAAAGAAATGGATGAAGTTTTGATTCCTTTTAGAAGCCGATAAAGTCTTAATGCTCTTGACAGGGATCAAAATGAATGCCTCAATTTCCTTGTGCTTTGATGAATAGCAGGTTTGAAAAGGAAGGGGTGTATATCCAGTAAGGCAATGAAATCTTGGTGATTGCATGCAGCTTGGAATTCATTGTGGTCTGAGTTTAAAAAAATTAAAAATAAATTTTAAAAAATAATTATTTAATTTGCCATCCATCTCATAGCAAATGAGTCCGGGCAGCTAAAACAACTGCAAAATAATTTCATTAAAGGTGCTAGATGTTTAGAAATCAACCCAACACACACACAAACACACACAGAGAGACAGTTGAACAAATGTAGCATTGCCCAAGGTGTGAGACCTTTTTTTTCCTGGTTCTTCAGGGCTCTTCACTTTCCAGATGGTGAATCTGGGAGATAAAGAGGAGTTGGGAAAATCTTTTGGTAATTGCTTCATGTGGACTTCTTGAACTTGGCCTGCTTTATTTAGCATCGTTAGGCAAAACATGTGACTACTTGCTTGCTAGCTCCCCAGGCCACAACATGTAGCCTTTCTATTTAACTAGACTGATGTGGAAAGGCAAGTACTTACATGCAACACTGTTTAAGTGGAGCCAAGATGGAGATCTCATCGTGGGAATGTTTCCCAAATCTGCAAGAACAAAGAAGTAAATGCCAGTGTTAAGGGCATAGCAAACAATCCAGGATGCTGGAAAAGAATGTCTCTCAGAATGATCAATAGGAGACAAAGGCCTGACTTGATACTGACTGGAATTTTATCTAAAATCCAGGCCTAGAGAGTTGAAAGAAGCTTGACAGAATCAACAGATGGCAGCATCTAGCCAACGTTGGAAGCTAAGCAGAGACAGTCTGATTCATAGTTTGGTCTGGGACCATTTAGGAATTGCAGGGTTGTTGGCCCAAGTTGGAACGAAAGAAAATATTCTGGAAAAGGATGTGAGAAACCACTTCTTTAACACTGCCAAGAAAACAGTATGAAGCATAACCGAAGGGTGTGTTTACTGTAGGAAGCAAGCCTTATCTCTTGCCTCTTGACTTCCCAGTCAGCCTCTACTATAATTCTGGCCTTATTGTATCCAAGGCCAAGGACAGAGGTGCCACATTTTTGAAATCATAGCTTCAGCGAGCTCCAATATTGCTAACCCCATCTGAAGTCACTTGACAATCTATCCTGGGGAGGGGTGATTCGGTTTGCTGGTTTGCTGCACAGCCTCGTGCCGCTAGTCATGCAGCCTCTAGTTTCATAAGCCCAAATGTCCTACGACAAGAGAGGTGACTTGCTGGTGAACCCAGACTTCCATCAATCCCAACCCCAAGGACTGCGGATGTTGAGAGTGGCAATCTTGCAACAACTACAGAACTAGCCATTGCCTGTCCTGCTCTAAGAGAGAGAATTTCCTACGCTGCACTGATATTCATATGTGATATTTCTGCTCTGAAATCCTGCTAAGAAATCAGTTACTAAGAAATTATGTAACTGATTGGAAATACGCACCTGTATCCGTATGAATTGGTTTAAAATCAGTTGCAAACTACATCCTTTGAATTGGATCAAGTCCCTATTTCAGCACTGATTGACTACCATTCCTTAATTTTATTCTTCTGATAGTGTTCTCTCTCCCTCTCTCCCTCTCTCTCTCTCTCTCTCTCTCTCTCTCTCTCACACACACACACACACACACACACACACACACAGAGCTGCCTTGGCTTCTTTCTAAGATCTTGTGAATAGTACTTCACTATATATGCTCAGCATTTCTTAATAAATATCTTTAGTGCTCTGGGTTAAAATTAATAGTTTCTCAGGTTCCCCAGAAAGACCTAAGCAGCTTAAAGCCAATACAGATTGCAGATTATTGGAATGCTCTTGTCAGGTGCATTGATTTCCATTAATAGCTGAAAAGCTCAGGCAATATCAAGTCAGCATGTGTCTCATTTAGTCCTATCCTGCTTAGAAAGACTAGGGCACATGTATGAGATCCATGAAAAGATGGAATATAACTTGCCTTTTCTCATATTTGGCACACTAGCTAGGGTTGTTAGTAATTGTGGTTCAGCAATATCTGAAGTCCACAGGTCCTCCAGCAGGAGCCATAATTCAGCATTGTTCAGCATCTATACTGTTCAGCATCTACATGACACTGTTGAGAGGGGCCATCTCTTTGCATAGGTTCAGGTATCAGTACTACTGAAATGATAGTTGTACATCCCAAACCCAGGATGAACAGGAGATATAGTCTAGGCACTTTGCATCTTGGTATCAGGAGGTTTCTGTACCCACAAAGTCTCTGAATGGATGGAGCCTGAGGCTTCCCATTTGGACTCTAATAGTCATCAGGCAATGAGATATGATCTTGACAGCATCACATGGCTAGGGTGAGTATTTACTAAATATCACCAAACCGATGATATCTGCCTCTGTGTCAATGAGTGACTTCATCCTGTGGCGTCATGTAGACATTAAACATGAGAGTCAACAACTTTGAGCCCTACAGTTCAGGAAATTTAAGCTTGGCTTTTTCCCCCATCAAAGCTGACTGAAACTGGCCATGGAGAAAGAAGAACTAACACAATACTGAACCTTTCACTCTTAGCCCTGTTGTCATTCCAGAAGGATACTTCATGATATTGAAAGTCATTGAGAGATTGAGGAAAACAAGGACCAGCAGCACGACTATCCTGGTTCTGCCAGAGATCATCATCAAAGACAATTAATGCAATGTCTGTATTGAGTCCTGTCCTGAAATTCAGTTGAAGAAGTCCAGCTAATTCATTTCCTCCTTCAACCCTCTAAAGGTACAACCTGACCATCTTCTCAACAATATCCTCTAAATCAGGGAGCTTGGGAGACTATGAAAATTGTCCATGTCAGCAATGCCTTCTTGAAGAACAGGGACACCAGGACCTCCTTCAAGGCAAGCAGACCCACCCTCCCCCTCAAGGATTAATTTACTGATCATACAGACCCAACCATATTTTTGTCAAATTCAGAGTTGTAAATTCACCCTTCCAAACCCAATAACTGAAGTAAATACTAGCCAGTAAACAAGTTTGATGGAGTTGCCCTTCCACACATGTAGAAGGTGTCAGTTTCAGGAAGGCCAAAAGGCAATCTACAGGTTTGATATGCAGCTGGCTACAAATCAATTCCTGGCCTCTTCAGGGACATCCGGAGAAGCTTCTGCCAAATTCCCTGGAGATGCAAGACTGGTCATTATCAACATTCCAGGACAAGAGGATCAAACATTCTGGCATAGTGCAAAGGAACATCAATTGCACTGTAAGCAGCCTGAATATAGCTAATTTATTTCTGCTGCAGATGGACCTGGCCAATTACAGCTTGTCATGAAGTAGGTCAGTTTAAGGCAGTTTCTAGGTCTCCTCCCTTCAAAGAAAGTGTGGAGGAAAAAAATGGGAAGGAAACAGGGCTATCAACTCCTAAGCAGATAGGAGCCCTGTTTTAGTTTAACTTGGGATTTTATCATGCAGTATTGTCTGACTCTAAACCAATAAGTTATGTCTGATTATATTTTTGCAGTCTGTAACTGAACTCCAGTTCTATCTGGAAATTGTCAAGGCCAGTGCTTAGGTGGGGAGAATGCTGATAATGGATAGTAGTTGCCTTACCCTCTGGCATTATCCAAGTGAAGCAAAAAACCCTCATCTCCAAACTTTGTAAACATCTCGTAATGATGGCGGTCCATGTTACCTTTCAGAAGACAAAAAGGAAGAGCATGGAAAACAAACGCATGCAGACCCACTTCCAATATTTAAATACAGAAATCAGCCTGGATCCATAGATTAAGAACTGCTGATGAGAGATATCAAACCCTTTTAATGTGAGAGGACCAGCAACTTAAAAGAGCTTACAGAGAGCTTTGGGGTCATGTAGGCTGACAATTCAGGATGCAGATGCAGAACTGGTTTCCTTAACATGGATTGATTTACTTTATTATGCTTTCCTTCTTAATTCAGCTTGCAGCTGTGCTCAAGTGAACATCTGGAATTCTTTGGATGGGGTTTAGAAATGGACTCAATTTGAGTTCCTGGTTATACACATGTATTAATGCATGAAATGTCACCATTTTCTCCCAGAAATTAGCATGACTGTCAGTATAATTTCATGATTGTCTGTTCAGAGGAAACCCTTTTGAGTTACTTTAGATTTACAGCCAGGTCAGTGTGTATACACAAGACTGCAGCCTCATTTGTTCTGTAGTTCTGTTAATGTTGCATGTTGTGGTCAATTAGGCTTTACTGCTATGCTGCAACCCAGCTAGAAACCACCATTAACAGGAAAGGTTATTAATCTTCAAGGCACCTACACTCCGGATTCTATATTAAGACTCCAGGCTTTTCAACTATTTAATTATTCCTTCCTCTGAGTGAACTCAGCAGAGGTAAGATATGTGGTTTCCCAAAGAGGCCAAAACTTTGACATTTGAAAGTCTGGTAAAAGTGTGCAATATTCTTTTGCCCAGCTGGACTGCTTTTCCTAAGTAGTGCAAATTTGGGATATATAGCATGGGTCTCCCACACTCCCTGGTCATTGCTTTTACATTCTTTTGATTTAAAAAATAAGGTATTTCCTGAGACATACACTAAGTCCTGCATCAATGCAAAAAAGTCCTATTATATTCAATAATTCAATGCTTTGTTAGTATATGTGTATCCAATTATCTAGGGAGAAAAAGATACCCCCCCCAAAAAAATTGTGGAGCTAGAAGGCATCTTGGGAGGTAAAAGCAATGATGACAAGCAACATTACCCATTTGCCTTCTGAAGACCATCCAGGAATGGCAATCATTTTCCAAGGGAGCTCACAGTAATGTCTCAAAATTCCAAACAATTGGCTGGAGACATTGCTATCCATTATAAAACATGTTTGTTGCCTGCTGCCAAATTCTGGAAGAATACACGATGGAAAGCAAAACATTTAGAAGGCTTGTTCTGGCATGTGCCTATGTGTGTGAGTTGTTAATATGGAGACAAAGCGAGCGTAAATAATTCAGCACATCAACATCATTGTGAAATTAATCCATTGGAATGGACTAGTAGTAGACAAAATCTCATGCCACAATGCATCTGGCATTTTTTAAACTGCCATTTCCATTTTTTAAACTGCCAATATCTAAACAGGAATGGATGAGTGAATGAATGTGTAGCTTTTTTCCTTTTGTATGACTATATAATATTCAAAGCACAGAGAAAGTATAAGAATCAGTACTCCTGGGCTGGGATCTGAGGAAAGAGACTACAGTTTTAATATTTGCTTTTGCTATGTTTCTATCCGATGTAATTTGGACATTGCAGATAAACAATAAAAACAAGCCAAGCACAGTTTGAATGCTAAAATGATGGACTAAGCCAAGAAGCTCCTGGATGATCTGGGGCAGTCATTGTTTTTCAATGAGAATGTTGTGAGGATAAAATAGAACTAATTGTGCAATGAATCAACTTCTGCTCTTGGAGAAAACATTAAAAAAAACCCAAATATATTGCTTTCCTCTGGACTGTTGATATATTGTTTGTTGTTGTTGTTCAGTCACTAAGTCGTGTCTGACTTTTTGTGACCCCATGGACCACAGCACACCAGTTCTCTGCCCTCCACTGTCTCCTGGAGTTTGTCCAAATTCACATTCATTGCGTCATCCAACCACCTCATCCTCTGCCATCCCTTTCTCCTTTTGCCTTCAATCTTTCCCAACATCAGGACCTTTTCCAATAAGTCCTGACTTCTTGTTAGGTGGCCAAAGTATTTGAGCTTCAGCACCTGTCCTTCCAAAGAACAACTACAGTAGGCTTGATTTTCTTTAGGATTGACTGACTGAATCTCCTTGCAGATTCGAGAGCCTTCTCCAACACTAAAATTTGAAAATCAATTTTTCAGTGCTCAGCCTTCCTTATGGTCCAACTCTCACAGCCATATATATTACTACTGGGAAAACTATGGCTTTGACTATATGTCAGTGATGTCTCTGCTTTTTAATGTGCTTGCCATAATCATAGTTTGCCAAAGAGCAAGCATCTTTTGATTTCATGACTGCAGTCACAGTGGCAGTGATCTTGGATATATAGGATAAGGATTTTAGCTAACCCCCTCCACTCTCCACATTGAAATCAGAGACTTCAGCTCAGAAAACCTGGAAAGTTTTGAATTTATCAGCATATTCTAAGCCAGCTATATTTCATGCCCCATGAAAAATTTCCACTCTTGGACAGAACACATCAGATCCATGAGGATCACAATCCCTCCCTCTTCTTACTTACCTATTAAGAAGTCAAATATGGCCATGTCAATGATATTGAGTAGCCGGCTGCCACTGTTGTAAGGATAAATCTCCTTCATGGTATTGCAGTAGAGAGGATTTACTTCCCACCTGGGTGAAAAATCAAACAGAAGAGAGTTGCTGCTGGCATCAGCACTCTCTCCATCTGCTGTCTTTCTTGAAAACAGAGGGAAAAGGCAGTGGTGCAACACTGGATTGTAAAATAAAATTAAAGATTTGGGGTCTAGCCTGCCATGTGAACCCGAGTCCAAGGCAAAAAGCGAATGCAGGTAATAGGCAAGGATCTTCAAAACTGTCAAGGTTTCTAAAACATCTAAAGAATACTGTATCTGTAGATACGCTTGAGCACTCTCAACACTGTTGGGAAAAGAAGTTTCATTCATTTTCCCGCTCCTTAACACAATCATGATAATAATGGGCCCTCCACAGTTGTATTTATATTTCAAGGTAAGCCTACGTTTAATGTTTTTGATTTTTCAGATTTATATCTTGATTTTCCTCAGTGAACTTAAGATAATACACATGAGAGGTGGGTTTTTTTTTTTTTGTCTTATTCCACTGCAGCAACTCAAAGGCCTCAAACCACCCAAAGAATTTCTGTTGGCTAGGTATGGAAATAATAGCTTCAGAAGCAATATTTATTCAGACTGGGTTAGTTAAGAGAATTTTTTTTAAATTTTTTCACTCTTCCCACAAGCATGCTCACACAGCTCTTTGTATATAGTCTTGTTGGACTTCCTAAAAGCTGTTATTTTACAATAGAAAATAGAAACAGCATTTATTACTAGCTTGGCTATGGTGGTTAGGACTTTTGGTCCAAATGCATTTGGTTGCTTCTGGATGGGCCAGCATTAGGAATGCAAAATCGAGGTGCGAGCTAAGCCCAGGGAATTAAGTGAGACTTACCCTCCAGTAACTGTGTCTAGGATTACATCCTTATTTCTTTTCTGTACAAACAGAAGGACCAAGGGCCTTTCTGAAGCTGTCCTGCTCAATAAATGTAGCATAGCACGTTTTTGAAAGCATAGCCTTTGTCTGAGCAGTAAGCAAAAAGAGAGGTCCATTTACCCACTTACTCCTCTTTTCCTGCAAAGCTATAAGATCGGATCCACGGATTAGGGATGGAGATTCGTGGTGCCAAGTTGAGAGAAGGCAGGAAAACCGAGAGGGAACCTTCCAACAGGTGAGGGTTCCCACAGACGGCGTATTCTGTTTTGCACATGTAAGGGCACTTCGCAAAGAAACAGACATTGCTGGCTATAAAGAGAGAAAGCTGTATGAGACTCAAGACTGACGCAGGGACAGAGGTTGTCCACAACAAGCCACAAGAACATTAGAATGAAGACATGCTCATCATGAAGTCATTATGCAAATGGTGTGATTGCATAATGATACCTGAGGCCCATAAGTTTATTTATTTATTAAGAAAATTTATATGGCTGCCTAATTTATGGTGACCCCAGGCAGATTATAAAACACCAGTACAAAAACCAGCAAACCTCCACTCATCTGGTAACAACAATCAAACCAGTGACTTGATGGACTCTGTATCACTCTGTTTGCAGGTCTGTTAGCAGTACCATGTCTTCAGGACTTTTTGACTATCGTCAAAGTGAGGGCCCATCTCATCTCTGCAGGGATGATGTTCCACAGAGAGGAAGCCACCACAGAGAAGGCCCTTCCAGTAGTAGACTGACCTCTTTAGGAGAGTAGAATCATAACAGTCCCTGTCTCTCTGTCATGGTGGGTTGAGTAGATATGATTGGGAAAAGATGGTCCTTCAAAGTTGCATAATGTAGTAATAATAAGGCCCTTAAAACTTGGTTTTGTCATAGGGCTGTAATGTCTGTGAAATAGTTGCATTGTGTTTAAGGTTTATAGGTATTTTTATTTCGGTTTTTAACTATTTTAATTGCATGTTTAATGCTTTTGTTTTTAATTATTTTGAATATTTGTTTTTTGTTAATCACCTTGTGTGATGAGAGGGCTATATATTACTGCTTAGTACAATTATGATGTCTAAACAGTGTTCAGAGATTTAGCTGGAAAGTATGATATGACTAACATTTGCTCTCCCTGATAGCTAAATACGAGAGTCTTTTCTGGGCACACAGGTTGTATATAAACATGCAGGGTATCTGTGGATACTTACACCTGGAGAAGAATATCTCAATTTTGTTGCATTTGCTCATTTGGTTGGTTAATTTAGGTTTCCCAACTAAATTTAAGCTGGTCAGGTTTATTCAAGTAAAGCGGGAATACTGACAAAGTTGCTCCCATTTTGCCTGGTTAAACCTAGAGCAATCTTGGTCATACAAAGTGGAAAACAAAGCCTGGAGCAAATTTTGCAAGAATCTTATGGGTATAGCCATCTGTCAAAACACCTCACAATCATAACAACTGGTGACCTCTGGCTTGGCCTGTACTAGCTTGTCAACAACTTTTAGAATGGCTGTCAAAATTTGCATGCTACTACAGTGAAGTCGAGTGTTTGTATCTATTATTTTAAATTCTTAGATTGTTGTGTGGCAAGAGAAAAGCTAAAGAGGACCAATTCACCAGTAGTGCTGAAAAAAGGTAGTTCTCAGTCATGAGAGTATTGAAAGTGATACCTCTTTAGCAGTTGAAACATTTAGTCTTGTCCATCTCCAATAGAATAATTGGTTTTATTCATGCTGAAGTGGGGTACAGAAATGTGTTTCTTATTTGAGGAGGTGGAAAGGTGATCTAATTTGAACATCTCAATTTAAGATGTTGCCATTGTGCTTTCAAGTCATAAATAGCTTATGGCATGACTATTTAAGGAAACTTTGAAAGATACCCCCACTGCCCCAGATTCATCGTCCTAGAATATTGGAGCAGGCCTTCTTCTGTACAATTTCCAGAATATGAAATGTATCTTAGAATCATAGGGTTGGAAAGGACTGTGGAGGTCTTCTAGTCCAACCCTTTATTCAAACAGGAGACCTTATAACACTCCAGACAAATGGTTGTCCAATCTTTTCTTGAAAACCTCTATTTATGGAGCACCCACAATTTTAGAAGCCAAGTCATTCCACTGTTTAATTGTTCTCACTGTCAGGAAATTTATCCTTATTTCTAGGTTGGAACTCTCTTTAATGAGCTTCCACCCATTGCTTCTTGTTCTACCTTCAGGTGTTTTTGGAGAATAAGTCAATCCCTTTTTTGTGACAATACCTCAAGTACTGAAAGACAGATATCATGTCACCCCTAATCCTTCTCTTCTTTAGGCTAGATATACCTAGTTTCCTTAACAGTTCATCGGTTTAGCTTCCAGAGTCCTCATCAACTTTGTTGTTCTTCTCTGCACTCTTTCTAGGGTCCCAACATCTTTTTTATATTGTGATAACCAGAACTGGACACAGTATTCCAAGTATGGCTTCATTAGTGCAGTATAAAGTGGTACTATCACTTCTTGTGATCTTGATCACTTCTCTCTTTTGACGCAGCCTAGGACTACATTGGCTTTTTTGGCTGCTACAGCACGCTGGTGGTTCATAGTTAAGTAGGACACCTAGGTCCCTCTCATACTTACTACTATACCATATGGCCCCATGTATATCTTTATACTTCAGAAAACCTGTGAAGATGCTACAGCCATCATAGTCTGGTTTGGAAGCATCACTGATTCAGACAGGAAGGTGCTGCAGAGAGTGATGAGGATGGCTGAAAAAATTATTGCCAGTTCCCTCCCTTCCATCCAGGACATAGCACATAAGCGTTGCTTGAGCAGGGTCCGTAAGATTGTCTGGGACACTACACATCCTCTTCACGACCTGTTTTCCTTGTTACCTTCTGGGAGGAGGCTCCGTGGTTTCTGAAGCAGAACATCCAGATTCAGTCACAGTTTTGTTCCATACAGTATTAACCTTGTGAACTGTAAAGCTTCCTCCTTCTGTTATGTGTTCAAGATGGACAGTGATTAATATTTATATGGTACTTATATGTAAGGGTGTAGGTCTATACATATGTTGCATTTAGTATGTTTAAATGTGTGTTATGTATGTGTACACTTTGAGAGCAAGCGACTAAATTTCATTTTTAATGTGTGCCATTGTGCCCACAGTAAAAAAATGACAATAAATGTTATCTATCTATCTATCTATCTATCTATCTATCTATCTATCTATCTATCTATCTATCTATCTATCTTATCTCTTTCACCAGGAATTTTAATGCAAACTGATTATAGTTCTTAATTTAATTTATTTCATGTTTTCAACTGTTTATAATGGTCTTATTTTTTTTAAAATGTATTTTAGCCACCTCGAGTACTCACCGAAGTAGAAAGATTGAATATAAATCTATGAAAGAAACTTACCGGGGGAAATAAAAAAGACACTTTGTAAGATTTCATTCTTTGTCATTTCTAAAATTTCTTTTGTAACGTTAATCATTCTCCCAGCTGCTGGAGGGACACGACGGAAATCCAGAATTCTGCAAAGGGCAAAATGTATTGCTCAGACCAATGCAAATCTTCTTTTTGTTAAACTGAATCTGGCCTATCTGTTAGAATTAGATTTTGTAAACTTTAGCATAATATTTTTGTTAATCTGCCATTATGATGGTATAATCCATAGCAACTTCCTATATGGAGAAAGTTTACTTTCCATGTTGTTCTCATAACATCCTTTGAAGGTTGACTGTCTCCACAGAAAAAATCTATAGAATTATTCAGAATATTGACTGCCAGTTGAGAATAAAGAATAGGATGGCCAGGGCTGCTGGCTTACAGTTAAGTTTGGACTGGGTTAAATTTTCTGCAAGTATTCAAAGTAAGAACTTGCAAATTGGACATGAAAGTTCTCTAACAGGATGGAGAAGGCTGTGCCCATTTAATTTCCTTGATCGGGCTTCTGTCAGATTCCTAGCCAACTAGAAAATGGCAAATATTTTCTCTTGATACATATGTAAGTAATTTTTAGTTTCAGGAAAATTCAGAGCAAATAAGTAGTCCTAAGGGGGGGGGGGAAAGGTAAGGTGAAGCCAAATACATAACTATACAGAAGGCTGAAAATATAGTATCTTTTGTATCTTGATCAGAATGTAGGACTTGTGGCTTCAGTGTGGGCCCTTCATGTTCTAAAGTTGGATGTTGACACATTTCTGCAAGCAAGAATGGAGAGTTGCAGTAGTAACTTAGTTAAACGTTTCCCAATATGAGGTTTCCATGGTAGGTCAGTGAAGAAGCTCATGTACTATAGGCAAATGAGCCATGTTTTAATCCCAAGGAAGGTGAAAATCTTAAAAGTTGTTCTCATCACAAGAATGGCGAGCACTAAAGTACCAGGCTGGACAGGGCCAATGAGCCAAATTGAACTTAACTTTCTCCCTGTTTGATACCCTACTGCAATATTTCTTAACCGTGGCCATTTTAAGGTGTCTGAACTTCAACTCCCAGAATTCCTCAGCCAGCACTGCTTGATAAACACCATTTCATTGGTATAATACTCTAAGAATGCAACTCAGAAATTTCAGACATTCTGAATATTCTAAGAATTATAGTCCCCATACATTTGCAGAATACACTGGGAAAAGCTAAGCTGGATACACCACTGCTCTGATTCATCGTAAGACAATTTCTTCTGTCACAAGGATTTCCAGGAATGTAACTTGACTGGACTGAGAATTAAAACATTTTGATCTTTAATAATAGCAAAGATGGAGACATTTCACCAAGAGCAGCTATTCTAACCTATTATAGTCACCTTATGGCAGTGTTTCCCAAACTTGACAATTTTAAGGCATGTGGACTTCAACTCCCAGAATTCCACATTGCTGGCTGTGGAATTCTGGGAGTTGAAGTCCACATGCCTTAAAATTGTCAAGTTTGGGAAACACTGCCTTATGGGAAGAGGCAGCATAAAAATGTAATAAATAAATAAATAAAATTATATCCTCTGCAACGTAACACTTCTCTTCATGCTGGACCATTTTGTCCTCCTTTGCATTAGAATCACAAATTAAGTAAGTTATCTAAAAGGTCCGGAATTATACAAATTACTCAAAGAAAGAAATAGTATGATACAATATTCATAGCTCAAACAAAGAGGGTTTCATGTCGTATGCCATAAGAGTGTTAACACTGGTAGCTACTACTAATGGGAGGACTTTGGTGCTTTCTGAGCTTGCTTGTTTTCTTGCAGACTTTTCATTACCCAAACTAGGTAACCCCATCAATGCTAGCACTGGGTGATGAAATAGCTGCAAGAAAACAACGGAGCTCAGAGTGCATCAAGGTCCCCTCATTTCAACCCTGAGCCACAAATATTCTCCTTTATCAATAGCTGCTACTAATATTTAACAACAGTTACCTGGATCTAAGCAAGCCCTCACTTACTTATCTTGTAATAGCTTTAATTTCACAGGGAGAGTTTATTACGATCCTCCACCACCCTTGCATTCTGCTGCTGCTTCTTTGTTTTCCCTAGCACTTAAGCAATTCATTAAGATATTTGATGGATGGCTCAAGTGAAACCTTAGATGCCAGCAAGAATACTGCCCCAACTTGTAAATGCTGAAATGTGGAGATATTTCTACTGTCTGTGCTGATTAATGCCATACAGCTTGCAAAGGATGCTATGGGGTCTAGTGTTTTTTTTGTTTGTTTTTTTCAGCAATTTGGTTAGTGAGTCAGTAACTGCCAAGCAGACTGACTAATAATGGCACAGAAGCTTTTTAAAATGCCCTCAAGAATTGGCTTTTTCAGCCTGCTGTTTGCAGAATAAAAATACAAATAAAGCATAGACTTGGAGCTTGATCAGGACTCCTAATGCATCAATCCAAGCATGATCTACCGCCAGACCTGCCAGATCATCACAAGCAGAAAAAAAGGGAGTTTAAGAGTGCTCCGAATGACAGGCTAATATAATACAAGCAGCTTGGTGGGAAACAGGTGGAAGAGTTATCAAGAATTAGATGGATAAACAAACAAACAAACATCTCACTTTCCTGGCCTTTTGGAAATGTCTAAAGACCTGGTTTTGCCATCTTGCCTGGGCCTCACAGAAGAGCGTGCAGCCTTTCAGCACCCTGAAAGCTCTCTTCCTCACCTTTTAATTCTGAATTTTAACTTTCTTTGCCCTTTATATAATTTTATATACAGTTTTTATGCTTTTATATTTTACTTGTACATTGCCCAGAGTTCCTCTGTGAAGGAGATGGGCAGTTTCTAAATTTGATAAATAGATGGATGGATGGATGGATGGATGGACAGATTTCTAAATTTGATAAACAAATAAATAAGACTTAGGCAGCTTGAGAGAATATCAAATTTCTTTTCCCTCTTCTTCGTTACATTTCATTTGTAATATGTGAATTATGAACATGCAATGGGTGGTGTCTGGTGACTGTTCATCCGCTAGTGGAATGGGAACTGTTAATGGAACAGGTTCCTTCTAAACTAGGGTAGATATGGAGGAGAAATAGCAGGAAAGCCGCTTGCAGAAAGTATGATTTAGCCTATTATTCTAGAAAGTTAGAACGATCTGAAGCAAGAAATGACCTTTCAAATAACTAATAGTAATTTATTAAATAATTACCTAGTAAACTTGTATGCTGAATGACTATGGGCAGTTCACAACAATCGAAGAATAAAATCAGTAAAAATAAAGATAAAACAAATGTCTACGGAAACTATCTGAAACGTTTGCACAATGCATTAGAAGAAAGAGCTGTAGTCTAAAACTAACGGGAAATTGTATTTTCCTTTCTATCACAGCCCCATGCTTAGATCATAGGCCAGCACAATTTTCCTCATCTCACAGGTTCTTTTATGCACCTAAAGATGGCCAGAGAACACAAATCAATCATCAAATCACGCTGAGCACAGAATGATGAGGAAACTACTATATTTCCTGCTTATTTTTTCACTCCGCTGTCCAGGGAAGACATCATCATTCACTAGGAGAATGTAGTTATATCAGCAGTAGGAGTCAGCAGATCCCCCATGGGGATGAACTATGACTCCCAGTTGCCCCAGCTGCTTGGCTAAAGATGAGGGATGTTGGGAAGTATAGCAACTTGGAGGGCCACAGATTTGTCACTCCTGATCTAGACTATCAGCATTGGTTCTTGAAGGTTTTAGACAAGTCCTATCTGGAACGAGAGGAAATTAAGCCTAGGAATCCTTTCCAGGTAGTTCTCGATTTATGACCGGCTGCTTAACCACTATTTGAAGTTATGGTGGACCTCCCCAAGGCCACTTATGACTCTTATTCAAAGTTCCAATGGCCCTGGCTGTTCCTCTCCTAGGGTCACATGATCACATTTTCGGCATTCAATAACCAGACTGCATTTATGGCTGTTTGCAGCATCCTGCAGTCATGTGACCACAATTTACAACATTTTTTTTTGTTGGAAACGTGTTCACTTCCAATTTCTGCAAAAACTGCCTATTGAGGACAATGGATTCACTTAACAAATGTATGTGTTTGCTTTATGGATGCTGTGTTCATTTAACAACAGCAGCAAGAAGCTTGTAAAATCAGGCAGAGTCACATGGAGACCCACATAATTACCAACATGAATTATGTTAATAATTCTGGGCTCATCTATGGTTGTGGGTCAAGGACTGTATACAGAATACAATTTCTGTCCCGAATGACAGTTCTTCCCAATAATGTGATTTCCCCCCCCCCCATCAGTACTTATGCTGATGATGCTTAAAGTTTTTAATGGCCAAAAAGGAAGAGCAGAACATTCATTCCATGACGCAAATGGCTTTAAAATTTGTGGCCTATGAGTAAAGGCTGATACCTACCCTCATTGCTCACACAGTTTTGTCTCCTGTGCCTTTTGCCTCGCCCCTCTGAAGCTGCAGTAAAGCTCTTTTCTAGACAAATAACTCAGGAGGTAATTATCACTTGGGAATTACCTGTCTAAGTGGAAGGCAGCGATCTCTGCATTGTGTCTCTGAAAGTCAACAAAGTAAAAAAAATCTTCTGGAGTCTCCTCGTCTCGGTTCTGTCTGAAGAAAATGTCCAGGTAATTAACAGGAAGGAGATTGTGTATAAAACAAAATATCTTTCTGAGTCTAAGAAAAGTATTTGACAGTAGCTAGAAAGAAAGAAGGATTCCTTTCTTCTCTTTCTGCTTTTCAGCTGCTCAGATCTTTTTGGTTCCCTCGTGTTCTTCTAGACCTGGTTTTATGCTCAAACTAACCAGCACCACCAATATATTTAATAATAATTGAGAAGACTAAATAGCCATGGTATGGAATTGGGGTCCAACCATGACAGGGGTTGGGCAAGTATGGCAACTTGACGACCTGTCAAATCTGGGAGTTGAAGTCCACAGGTTGTAAAGTTGCCATAGTTGCCCACCCTTATGCTATGTTTCTTCTGTTGCCTTCCCAGATTGGCCCATTTGTCTAGTTGAGGAGGAAAGTTGCTATTCAGGTCAAAAAGGATCAGCTCAGTGGTGGGATTCAGCCAGTTCACACCACTTTGGCAAAACCGGTAGCTATTTTTTTGTTGCGCAGGCCCAGAATGGACTTCCAGAAGCAGCATCCACACAGAGAACTGGTTGTTCACATGTTTGAATCCCACCACTGGGTCAGTTCCCAGCTAGAGTCAGGACAACAGAGCAAAGAGTCAGAATAACTCCCTCTTTTGCTACGTTGCACTGGTCTGAACTGCCTCATCCCTCATCTGCTCTTCATTCTTTCTTTCTATATTTTTTAAAGGATGTAAATGGTCACACCTAGTTGGCAGTTAGTCAACCAGCAACTTCTATGTATCTTCTTACATACTCATTTTGAATTCCCTTCAAAATCTTTGCACAACGTTAGCTTTTCCCTGAGGCGGGGAGGAACCGAGTGTGATTGTATAGGATGTAGCTTCCAATCCCTCTTTCTTTCCATAGAATTGCTGGAAATCAGCAGCACAATTTATGGACATGCAGAGGTGGGAAAAGATGAGAAGTACTCAAGTAGATCTTGGGTATTTTTTAAAAAATTATCATGCTACCTGCCACCACAAAAAGAACATAATTCGAATGCCTGCTCCTTCTCCTCCTTATCTGCACAACAACATTTATAGCTTTGCTAAAAATGCTTTAGTGAAAAGGATTCTGGCCATTTTCAAGTGAAGCAAGCTTACCTCATTGGTTTGAACATGGCTTTCCCGAAGTCTTGGAACCGCAAAACAAGTTTCAGGTGCACCCCGCTGGGCTTTACAACTGAGAAACAAAGAGAGATTCAGCTCCTTTTTCAAATGTCAAAACTCAAAGCTTTTGCTTAGTAATTTGACAGAAAAACATAATATCTGTCTTAAGAAAGAATTGAAATGAGCTTCTAACACCTTAAGATATATGGTATATGAAGATCAGTATCTAGTTTGCTTCTATTTGTTGGAAGCCATTTACTATGTTGAGTAATAAGCTACACTGAACTTGAAATAGTGAAAGCCTAACTCAGGGGTAGGCAACCTTGGCTCTTTTATGACTTGTGGACTTCAACTCCCAGAATTCCTGAGCCAGCATGGCTCAGCATGGAAACCTCTTCATTTCCCCTGAGCATGGCTGGTTCAGGAATTCTGGGAGTTGAAGTCCACGAGTCATAAAAGAGCCAAGGTTGCCTACCCCTGGTCTAACTTATTAAGGAACACCTGTCTCAAACCTACAACTCTGAGAATTCCCTGAAAATTTCCAATGTAATATTTCTTCATTTTTATTTACTGATCTGTACTAAGTTATACTTTTTCTGCTTTGTTTACAGGTAGTCCTTGACCTATGGCCACTACTGAGCTCAAAATTTCTGTTAAGTTAGTTGCTAAGTTAGTTTTCCCCCCTTTTACAACTTTTCTTGCCACAGTTGTCAATGAATCACTGCAGTTGTTAAGTTAGTAACATGGTTGTTAAGTGAATCCGGCTTCCCCCTTGACTTTGCTCGTCAGAAGATTGCAAAAGGTGATCACATGACCCGGGGACACTGCAACCCTCATAAATACATGCCAGCTGATAAGCATCCAAATTTTGATCACATGACCAATGGTTGTAAGGGTGAAATATGGTCATAAGTCACTTTTTTGAGTGCCATTGTAACTTTGAATGATAACTAAATGAAGTGTTGTAAATTGAGGACTATCTGTATAGCTCTGGGAAATGAAGGGAAGGAGGTAAATAATTCTTCTTCCATTCTGTTTGATATCTAGAGTAAAACTGAGAGATTTGTGGAGATGTGAGAATAGGTAGGGGTAGAGGATTGGATGAAGACCAAGGAGACCGAGCCCAAATCCATATTCACTATGGATGACATATGGCAATTTGTCAAATCTGCCTCACGTGGTTATCCTCCTACACCTCTTGGAGGAAGAACAAGATCACAATAACACTCCTTGGCCAGACCTCCAATTGTCCCATTTTAAGTGGTGATCCTAATCCGGAGAGTCCATCTATCAAAGCTACCCCAAAGAAAAATGGGGAGAGAATGAAACTAGCAGAGCGGGTTGTGCAAGTATGTGGTATATTTTATCTTGCAAATCCCTCTTTTTTAATGCTGGCTGATCTTAAAAAAAAAAAAAAAGGGCTAAGCAGAGTCAGACCTTGTCTGGAAATCAGTAGGAGACCTAAGGAAATCCCCAAGCTGCTGGCTAGTCAAAAACAATCTGGAAGGAGGTCCTGAGTACCACTTCCACACTATTGCCAAGGGGATTCCCAGATTTGACCTTGACCTGAGAGAGCTATTACTTTCGTTTTTTGTGATCTAACTCCTTTTTTGAAGAGGTTTCTTGCCTGGATGTGCTTCTATTGATGTAAAATCATGCATTTTAAACACCTAAAAGCTGTGGGGCGCTTTTAGTCCAATAGAAATGATTGATTTATACCCATGTACAGGTAGTCCTCGACATAGGACCACAACAGAGTCCAAAATGTAAGTTGCTAAGCAAGACATTTATTGACTTTTGCCCCATTTCTCGACCTTTCTTGCCACAGTTGTTAAATGAATCACTGCAGTTGTTAAGTTAGTAACGTTGTTGTTAAGTCAGTGGTTCTCAACCTTTTTAATGCCGCAACCTTCAACCGGTCGTAAGTCGAGGACTACTCAACTGGTCGTAAGTCGAGGACTACTCAACTGGTGCAGCATCGTTTGCAGAATGGGACTTTTGGCGGGCTCAGCAGGGCAGAGACAGCCTGGACAATTCCTATTGGCTTTTGAAAGCCAATAGAATTAGACTCTATTCAAGAGAGTTATTCTATTGGCTTTCAAAAGCCAATAGAATAAAAGGGAGTAGCACAGCTAAGGAAAAGGGGAAAAAAATGGTGGACTGCATTGTTTGGCGACCCCCGTGAAATGGTCATTCGACCCCAAATGGGGTCCTGACCCACAGGTTGAGAAACACTGTGTTAAGTGAATCTGCCCTTCCCATCGACTTTGCTAGTCATAAGGTCGCGAAAAATGATCACATAACCCCGGGACACTGCAATTGTCATACACATGAGCCAGTTGTCCAAATTTTGATCATATGACCACGGGGACGCTGGAGTGATCATAAGTCACTTTTTTTTCAGTGCCACTGTAATTTTGAACGGTCACTAAATGGATGATTGTAAGGCGAGAACTACCTGTACAAGGTACAGGAAAAATGAATCCAGGATTCACCTTCATTGATCCGGCTGGAAAATGCAGGGTTCAAAGTGAGCTGGGTCAGTTTAGCAGGCTGTAACATTTCTGCCGGAGCACCACGGAAGAGACAAAGGCATTTTCTTAATCCCTCTTTCTGCTTGTCCTCTTTCAACTTCCTGACACACTGCTTCAGAGGGGAGGGAAGTCTGAGAGCTTGTATCTCCTCCAGGAGGGGATCAGGAACGTCCTTCCTTCCTTCCTTCATCCCAGTAGATTTCTCTCAAATCCCAGTGCCCCTTTGGATCCAGTTCAAGGTCAGGAAGAGATACTGACACCGGCTCAACAAATGCACAGCAAGCCTTTTAATAGACGTGCAACTCCAAAGGGAAATTACACCACGGCGCTAGAGTTGCCTCTAAACATTCAGGGCTGGGTGAAACAGAGCCCTAAATAAAGCCCAAGGGTAGCACTAAGGACTTGGCTCATACATCTCATTAACAGAACTCCATCACTCCCCCCCCCTCCACCGCCAAAAGGACTCCTGTGACACATTGGTCAAAAGCGGCAGCAGATAGAATAGCAGTTCACCTACTTTGGGAGCAGTCGCAGGCCCCGAGCAAGGCTTTCTCATCCTGGCTGTAATCTGGAATGAAAAAGAAAACCTTGGGAAGTTTTCTTACAAGGAAGGGAGATAGAAGACAGAAGGCAGGTGAATGGCCTGCTAACAGCAGGGTTGCCAGCTTCTGTGCAAGTGGGAAGGGGGATCAGCGAGGGCAGGGGTAAGCCACCTTGGCTCTTTTATGACTCGTGGACTTCAACTCCCAGAATTCCTGAGTCATAAAAGAGCCAAGGTTGCCTGCCCCTGAGCAAGGGGAACCAAAGGGGACCAACAGGACTAGCTAGCAAACTTAAATCATGGTATCACCAATATGAATTTATGAGAACTAATTTGACCTAGCGGTTAAGGCACCAGGCTAGAAAGTGGGAGGCTGGGAGTTCTAGTTCCGCTTTAGGCATGAAAGCTGGCTGGGTGACTTTGGGCCAGTCCTGCTTTTTCAGCCCAACTCACCTCACAGGGTTGTTGTTGTGGGAAAAATAGGAGGGAAGGTGTGTTGGATATATTTGCTGCCTTGAGTTATTTATGAAAACAATAAAGGCAGAATAGATATGAATGGATGGATGGATGGATAGATGGATGAATGAGTTTATGAATTACAAATTATTTGTATGATGATGTCCTCAGGACCACGACATCATTGTGGCTTTTCTCAAATTCCCCAAATACATTTCCTGTGGGATTCATTCAGGTTTCACTGCAAGTAAAAAAACAGCGGAGAGGGTTCTACTGTATCCAATAATTTCTACCACTGCCCCACACACATACAGGTAGTCCTCAACTTAGGACTACAAATGGGACCAGAATTCCTGTTGCTAAGCAAGACAGTTACCAAGTGAGTTGTGCCCAATTTTTACAACCTTTTTGCCTTGGTTATTAAGGGAATCACTGCACTTGTTAAGTCTATTGTGAGGTTGTTAAACAAATCTGGCTTCCCCCATTTTCTTTGCTTTGTTGGAGGTCGGCTGGGAAGGTCACACATGGCGATTACATAACCCTGGGATGCTGCAGCCATTGCAAATATGTGCCAGTTGCCAAGCGCCCGAATTTTGACCATCTGACTGTGGAGATTCTGCAGTGGTCATAAGTGTGAGGACTGGTTGTAAGTCACTTTTTTCGGCGCCACTGTAATTTTGAACCGTTGCTGAATGCTCTAAGTCATGGACACCCTGTACTACATTGGGAAAGGGTATGCAAAGCAGTTGGGGTAGAAAGATTTCCCAACCAGAATTTTCCCTTCCAGGAAATTCTCTTTCTTCCCGCTTTTTCTGACTGCGCTCTCAATTTCCTTTCAAACAGATTCCCTTACACCAGTGGTTCTCAACCTGTGGGTCAGGACCCCATTTGGGGTCGAATGACCATTTCATGGGGGTCGCCAAACAATGCAGTCTGCCATTTTTTTCCCCTTTTCCTTAGCTGTGCTACTCCCTTTTATTCTATTGGCTTTTGAAAGCCAATAGAATAGACTCTCTTGAATAGAGTCTAATTCTATTGGCTTTCAAAAGCCAATAGGAACTGTCCAGGCTGTCTCTGCCCTGCTGAACCCGCCAAAAGTCCCATTCTGCAAACGGTGCTGCACCAGTTGAGTAGTCCTCGACTTACGGCCGGTTGAGTAGTCCTCAACTTACGACCGGTTGGGGGTCACGGCATTAAAAAGGTTGAGAACCACTGCCTTACACTGTTCCTCCTGATTATACAGGTGAAACTTGAAAAATTAGAATATCGTGCAAAAGTTCATTTATTTCAGTAATGCAACTTAAAAGGTGAAACTAATATATGAGATAGACTCATTACATGCAAAGCAAGATAGTTCAAGCCGTGATGTGTCATAATTGAGATGATTATGGCTTACAGCTCATGAAAACCCCAAATCCACAATCTCAGAAAATTAGAATATTGTGAAACAGTTCAATATTCTAGGCTCAGGGTGTCCCGTTCTAATCAGCTAATTAAGCCATAACACCTGCAAAGGGTTCCTGAGCCTTTAAATGGTCTCTCAGTCAAGTTCAGTAGGAATCACAATCATGGGAAAGACTGCTGACCTGACAGTTGTGCAGAAAACCATCATTGACACCCTCCATAAGGAGGGAAAGCCTCAAAAGGTAATTGCAAACGAAGTTGGATGTTCCCAAAGTGCTGTATCAAAGCACATTAATAGAAAGGTATGTGGAAGGGAAAAGTGTGGAAAAAAAGGTGCACAAGCAGCAGGGATGACCGCAGCCTGGAGAGGATTGTCAGGAAAAGGCCATTCAAAAGTGTTGGGGACTTTCACAAGGAGTGGACTGAGGCTGGAGTCAGTGCATCAAGAGCCACCACAGACAGACAGATCCTGGACATGGGCCCAGTGTGAAGTTTCCACAGTCTATGTTGATTTGGGGAGCCATGTCATTTGCTGGTGTTGGTCCACTGTGCTTCATTAAGTCCAGGGTCAATGCAGCCGTCTACCAGGAGATTTTGGAGCACTTCATGCTTCCTTCTGCAGACGAGCTTTATGGGGATGCTGACTTCATTTTCCACCAGGACTTGGCACCTGCTCACACTGCCAAAAGCACCAAAACCTAGTTCAATGACTGTGGGATTACTGTGCTTGATTGGCCAGCAAACTCGCCTGACCCGAACCCCATAGATATGGGGCATTGCCAAGAAAAAGATGAGAGACATGAGACCGAACAATGCAGAAGAGCTGAAGGCCGCTATTGAAGCATCCTGGTCTTCCATAACATCTCAGCAGTGCCACAGGCCAATAGCTTCCATCCCACGCCGCATTGAGGCAGTAATTGCTGCAAAAGGGGTCCAAACCAAGTACTAAGTACATATGCATGCTTATACTTTTCAGAGGTCCGATATTGTTCTATGTACAATCCTTGTTTTATTGATTGCATGTAATATTCTAATTTTCTGAGATTGTGGATTTGGGGTTTTCATGAGCTGTAAGCCATAATCATCACAATTATGACAAATCACGGCATGAACTATCTTGCTTTGCATGTAATGAGTCTATCTCATATATTAGGTTCACCTTTTAAGTTGCATTACTAAAATAAATGAACTTTTGCATGATATTCTAATTTTTCGAGTTTCACCTGTATGTTTCCTTTTGTGTTTAATGCTGCTTGATGCTTTTTGAAAAGAAATAAAAACATTATTATACAAATAATTTTTAACTCATAAACTCATGTCAGTGAGATCATGAAACCATCAGTGCACAGCACATCCCTTATGTGATTGTGTCATGACAGATGTGCCATCATTTGCCTCCCTTGCCCCGCCCTGTAAATGGGATCAGGACAACAATTAAGTTTATTTAACCACATTTACGTGTAATTAAAACACCCGAAATCTATGCAACACTGAGAGGCAAATTGGGACACCAAGCAATTAACCATTCTTAATTGATTTGCAGCCCTACCTGTGAACTGGGCATGAAGCACAAGACTAAGTGTACGTGGCTGATTTCTACAGTTTCTAACTCTTCATGCATCCTAGTGGTCATCTGGATTAATTTTGCATCCCAGATCTAGTACTCTAACATTTCCTAACCAATTTCCTAACAGTGAAATTTAGAAATTTCCTAACAGTGAAAACAATTAACCAGTGGAACAGCTTGCCTTCCGACGTTGTGTGTGCTCCATCACTGGAAGCTTTTAAGAAGAGACTGGACACCCATTTGTCTGCAATGGTACATAGGGCCACCTGCTTGAGTAGGGGGTTGGACTAGAAGACCTCCAAAGTCCCTTCCAATTCAGTTATTCTGTTATTTCAGCCTTCCTTTAAGAAAGATTCAAAGCATTACTTACCAGCACTGATAGTACTAAACTTCTGTGTGTCCCTAAGGAGTTGATCAACCATAGGGCTGGCCCGTGGATACAAGGCATGACGATTGATCCCCAGGTAGAACTGGAGCCAGCTTGCTTCATGTCGGAACTGAACCACTGAACCCACGGTTAGGTTGCGTTCTTCTCTATAAACCTGATGTCTTCTGAAATACATGGAACAGATAACCTGTGTTTATTCAAATGTTAAAAAACGCATTGAAGGAATTCTTGCTAATATAGGTAATCCTCAAATTATGAGCTCTACTGAGCCCAAAATTTACTTTGCTAAGGAAGACCGTTGTTAAGTGAGTTTTGTCCCATTTTACGACCTTTCTTGCCACAGTTGTCACGTAAATGTGAAGTATTAATACCACTTTACAATGCCTTGGTAAGGCCACACCTGGAATACTGCATCCAGTTTGGTCACCATGATGTAAAAAAGATGCTGAGACTCTAGAAAGAGTACAGAGAAGAACAACAAAGATGATTAGGGGACTGGAGGCTAAAACATATAAGGAACGGTTGCTGGAATTGGGTATGTCTAGTTTAATGAGGAGAAGGACGAGGGGGGACATGATAGCAGTATTCCAATATCTCAGGGGCTGCCACAAAGAAGAGGGAGTCAAGCTATTCTCCAAAGTGCCTGAAGGCAGGACAAGAAGCAACGGGCGGAAACTAAGCAAAGAGAGAAGCAACTTAGAACTAAGGAGAAACTTCCTGACAGAACAATTAACCAGTGGAACAACCTGCCTCCAGAAGCGGTGAATGCGCCAACATTGGAAGTTTTTAAGAAGAGACTGGTCAGCCATTTGTCCAAAATGGTATAGGGTTTTCTGCCTGAGCAGGGGGTTGGACTACATGACCTCCAAGGTCCCTTCCAACTTTATTATTATTATTAATCACTGCAGTTGTTAAGTTAGTAACATGGTTGCTAAGTGAATCTGGCCTCCCCATTGACTTTGCTTGTCAGAAAGTCACTAAAGGTGATCATATGACCCCGGGACACTGCAACTGTTATAAATACATGCCAATTGACAGGTGTCCAAATTTTGATCATGTGTCCATGGGCAATCTACAATGGTTGTAAGTGTGAAAAATAGTCATAAGTCATTTTTTTCAGTATCGGTGTAACTTTGAATAGTCGTGAAATGAATGGTTGTAAATGAAGCACTACCTGTAGATAATTTGTCCAAAGAGATCCAAGGTTCAACCTAGAGAATTAATAGGCTGGACATTGCTATCCTTGCCACAAACCATGCTGGCCCAAGTGGACAATTGGTCTGGCTACTATCTCTCTTCCTCATTTCCTTCTCTCAATTGCTGGCAGCACATCTGTTCCTGTTAGCAACAGCGACAATGCCGGTTAGATTTCCTAAAACTCAGTTTACAGACACCATTGCTGTTTCTGCTTCCCACCATACTCGCAATTCTACTTACCACCATTTATTTAGCGACTGCTCGAAGTTACAATGGCACTGAAAAAGTGACATATGACCAGTTTTCTCACTTACGATCACTGCAGGATCCCTGTGATTATATGATCAAAATTCCGGTGCTTGGCAACTGGGATGTATTTATGATGGTTGCACTGTCCCAGGGTCATTTGTAATCTTCCCAGCCAGCTTCAAAGTCAATGGGGAAAGTCAGGTTCTTTTAATGACCTCAAGATTCATTTACCAATTGCAGTGATTCACTTAACAACTGTGGCAAAAAGGTCACAAATGGGGCAAAAATCACTTAACCACTGCCTTGCTTAGCAATGGAAATTTTGGGTTCAGTTGTGACTCAGTCGAGAGCTACCAGCTACCATGTGGTTTTGTGAATGCGTGAGTGTAGGGCCACCAAGAGTATTATTACTTTAGTTTAAAAGGTTATTGTTTAAAATGCTTTCCAAATAGATGGAACCTGGTTGCCTCAAAAACAACCTGGCACAATTATAGTCTATAACCTTGCAGTGACATCACTGCTACATCCCCAGTAGCAGTGTATATACCCTCATGCAGCTTGTGGTCCTAATTAAAAAAAAAAAAAACTGATGGAGAGGAAAAACGACAGAGAAAAAGGAGGTATCAAAAGAAAAAGGCAATTATGGGTATAGAAACATGGACATCTACAAGACAGAGAATTGGAGCCTCTACTCACATTTCATTTTGGCTTCATTCCTGGCTACTGATTTGCATCGAACGTCCAACAAATTACAGTCGTTCATTCATTCATTCATTCATTCATTCGATTTGCATCGAACGTCCAACAAATTACAGTCGTTCATTCATTCATTCAATTTGCATCGAACTTCCAACAAATTACAGTCGTTCATTCGTTCGTTCGTTCATTCATTCATTCATTCATTCGTTTTAGATGGCTGCCCATCTCACCAAGTGAACTGAGAGAGTAACATGGGGTTAAAAACTTGCCAAGCAAACTAAACAATGATATAATATACGATCTTGCATTTTGCACCTTGACTAGGGCTCCCTTAAATCGGAATCGTCCTGCATTAGACTGGAATCCATTAACACAAGATCTCTCTGCCTTTTTCTTTTTTCTTTCAGTTTGCTGGACATTTTAGAAATGAATGCTAAGAGTTGGCAGCCCAGGCTCTTCCCAGAAGCTGGGAATCTGCAGTGCAAATCTGCTTTATGATTCAGATAAGCAAGTTCAAGAGAAATAGCCCCCTCTGGATGGTTACCCATCCCTTAGTGCAGTTCTGATTCTTGTAGGCAGATTTGCATTCTGTATCTTTACCTGAATCCCTGTCTAGGTCATAAAATGAATACAGGCTAAAGGGAGCCGGCAGGTACTAAACCAGGGGTAGGCAACCTTGGCTCTTTTATGACTCGTGGACTTCAACTCCCAGAATTCCTGAGCCAGCCTGGCTCAGGAATTCTGGGAGTTGAAGTCCATGAGTCATAAAAGAGCCAAGGTTGCCTACCCTTGTACTAGACAAACAAATGCTAGGTACAATTACATTTTTTAAAAAATTTGAAATTGTTTCCTGCACTAAGTACTCCAACAACAAAGGTGGAGAATGGCCTACAGCTCAGGACAGTCATGGTTTCAAAAACGTCTAAAAAATAACAAGGCACTGAGCTTTAACCAAACTATAATAATCCACCAACCTCTTAGATAAATATAAATCCACTACAGTAACTGCATGTGTTAACAGTGACAATTATGAAGGCCATAATTGCATGAAATAGCTTAGTAGGTCCACAGTAGAAAACTCTGTGGTGCCATCTAGTGGTCACCCAGAATTCTTGCAGCCTAGATACAGCAGCTCAGACCAGCCCTTGCTTGGGTTAGAGTGGAGTACTTTTAGCTCCCAACAGCTTTGGGTGTAACCTTCCCTGGTGAGCTCTGTCCTGCAAACACATAAAGGAAATTAACAGAAGGCTCCTGGAAGAGCAACAAGTACTTAGGGTAGCCCACATAACTGGACCTTCTCCCCAAACTCCCTTTTTCTGATTTTTTTTCCTATTTTTTTCTGTCCCTGAGCATAGAATTTGCTGTTGTGTTACCAAACTGTCCTACTTAGACCTACTGTGGTGTTATAGTTTTAATCTGGGACAAATAAAGGAAAGTTGATGGCTTCTTCTGACTTTGTTTGTCCTCCCACCAATCATTACCTGCCAATCATTCTCTTGAATGAGCAGTGAGACAAGGATGGGGATGGAGAAGTGTAGACAAGCATCTGCAAGCAAACTCACAAGTTTCCTGACCCCCCATTCCCCCAAAAAGGCTGCAGGTACAGAATTCTCATGCATGTTGTCCTGCTCCCTTCCCATCCACGGTTGTTATCAGGGCAATTCTTGGACATCCATTTAGTGCTCTTTTCAAAGGAGAGAAAGGGCATGGAGTAGAGAATCCATTCTGATCCACTACTACAAGAACAGCCATTTTGGCAGGGGTATTCATGGCGGGCAGTTCTCAAAAGAAGGGTGTGAACTATGCAAATTGTGTGAAGTAAGCAAAACACCACACTTTCCCCCCAAAGTAATAAAAACAGGGGAAACATGACCCCTCAGGCCCTTGTCAGCAGAAACGTTTGTAAGGGTAGTCCTTGACTTAGGATCACAATTGGGCCCAAAATTTTCATTGCTAAGCAAGATAGTTGTTGAGTGAATTTTGTCATTTTTATGCCCTTTCTTGCCACAGCTGTTAAGTGAGTCATTGCAACTGTTGTTAGTAACATGGTTGCAAAGTGAATCTTTACAACCCGGTTGACTTTGCTTGTCGGAAGGTCATCAAAAGGGATCACATGGCCCTGGGAGACAGCAACCGTCATAAATACTTGCCCGTTGCCAAATGTCTGAATCTTGATCACATGACTGTGGGGATGCTGCAATGGTCATAAGTGTGAAAAATGATCATATTTTGCAGCGGCATAACTTTGAACACTCCCTTAATGAGTGGTTGTCAGTCGAGAATGATCTGCAGTGAATTTGTTGGTGGCAGAACCAGACACACGGGGTGGAAGAATGTGGCTCTTTTTTCTTGATATAAATTGACCCTCCATGTAGCAGAAAAGCACTCAAAAGCGAGTTTGTTGACAAACTAGCCTTGAAAAAAAACCAAGTGTTATCAGGAACATAAGATCTAACAAGAGCTATGGATAACACCACCCGGGCATTCTTGGATGGACGCTTCTGCCAAACCATAGTGGCCCAACACAGGTGTGGCTAGCTTCTAGTGGCCAGTAGGAGTGATGCAAAACCCAGGCCGACTGCATCATCATCATCCACCACAATGTCAGTGAAGCATGCTAGATCATGTCCACGTTTGGGAGAAGAGGAAGTTCTGGAACAACATGAAAACTGGAATAGCTGAAGCCAACTTGAAGCAGCCTCCATTGTGGGTTGGAGCTGAGACAATGGTAGTGATCTGAAGACAAGGCATATAGATCTCTCTCCCCAATGAGGCAGGGGCCACATCCGGAAGGGGGAAATCAAGGATTAATGTCTCCTGATGTGGGCTTTCAACTCTTTTGTGGCTCGACTGCTACAGCACTCAGGAGGCTGACTCTGCCTTTCCACGGAAGAGTGATCAGGTAGAACTGGGGAAGGATTGAGCATAACATGCATTTGTAACTCAGGTGTATCCTGCCTACATTGCTCTCAAGCCTGATCTTCTCTGTTCTGCCAAAGGACTCATCGCTGTATCTATT